TCGTCTGGGGCTTCTTGGTGTTCAGCTTCTTTTTGAACAAACTTCTCTCATTCATATTATTCTGCGATCTTTCTTAGGCGTCGTCCTCATCGTAGTCCTCGCCTGCTGCTGCCGCTCGTGCTCCTTCCTCTCATGGGGATAATGAGGAGGAGCCCAGCGTGGAGGGGGGTGGTGTGTGTCTCCCCGCCTCAATAAACATATGATCATGAGGAGGAGGAGGGCGACAAGGACGAGGAAGAGGAGGAAAAGGAGGAAGAGGACGAGGACGAGGAGGCGATCTGTGCTTGTCATTCTTCCTCCAGCTTCATTGTCAATCTCTCCATCCTCCTCCTCCTGCCAGGTCCTCATCCTATTCCTCCTCCTCATCCAGATTCCCCCTTCTCCTCCTCACCCTTATCCACCTCCTCCTTCTCATCCTCCCCCGCTCCACCATCATGGCCATACTCATTGTCATCATTATCATCGGCAGGAGCAGCAACATCAACATCATCATTTCTCTTCGTTGCCACTCCTCATTCCTCCTCCTCCTCCTCATGTTCCTCCTTTTCCTCCTTGTCCTCCTCCTCCCTTTCCGTCTCACCCCCCGCTTCCGCAAACTTGACCTGGCAAACATGCGCGGACTTTGTGAACACCGCAGCAGACATGTGTAGAATAGAGCTTGGTGGTACCACCGAATACAAACAAAAAACACCTGTGTACAAGAACATTTGGCGGGCGTGCTCCTCCCGCAAGCCTTCCCGGCCAAGTTCGCGGGCCTCCTGAAACCACACAATAACAAAACTGTGTATCGCAGGGTTTGGTAGTACCACCGACAAAAAACAAACACACCTGTGTATAATAGGGTCTGGTGGGCATGCTCCTCCCGCAAGCCTTCCTGGCTAAATTTGCGGGCCTCCTGACCCCCCCCCCCAAGCAAACAAACCTGTGTATAGTAGAGCTCGGTGGTATCACCGACCCAAAATAAAGCAAAAGAGCAAAAAACAACCTGTGTATAATAGGATTTGGTGGGCATGCTCCACCCGCAAGCCTTCTCGGCCAAGTTCGCGGGCCTCCTGACCCCCCCCAAACAAACCTGTGTATAGTAGGGTTTGGCGATATCACCGACGCAGGAAAAACAACTGTGCATAGTAAGGTTTGGTAAGCATGCTCGTCAACCAAGCCTTCCTGCCCAAATTTGCGGGCCTCCTGACGACCAAAAAAAGAAACAACCAAAGACACGGTGTATACTAGGGCAGTGTGGTATCACCGATACAAAACAAGAACACCTGTGTATAGTCGGGTTTGATTGTCATGCTTCTCCCGCAGAGCCTCCTGAGCAAGAGGAAGTGGAGGAGAAGGCGGAAGTGGAGGAGAAGGAGGAGCAGGAGCAGGAGCACGAGCAGGAGGATGAGGAGGACGAGGAGAACGAGGAAGAGGAGGAGATGATACGGGATGTATGGAAGAAGAATGTATGATTATTTGGGGGCTACCATATATGTGGACAAACACATATATGTGTGTATATGCCATGCATGTACACATATATCTGTTTGTGTGTACATATGTAGCTGTATATACCTGTATGTTAGTATATGTGTGTGTCTATTTTCATCTACATTCGTATATTGGTGTATGCATATATGCGTATACATAGGGGCCTGGTCTGGGGGGGGGGCGTTCGCACCGAAGACGAAGACGCTATTTGAAGAGCCTGTTCTTCCGTGGAGCTGCGGAGACGCCTGTGTCAGTCTGACCTTTGACGCCCGGTGAAGCTTGTGAAACTATTTTTGCCTGCAGCCTCTACATCGCCGTGTCAAAAAATTATGCGGTTTTATGATATGTTGGAATCTCCTATCCCTCTGAAGATTCCTAACATTGACATGCGTCCTCCGCGATCCCGCGGAGTAATTCGTCTACCTCTAATCAATAACATCGTTATCTCAAAACAGGATCGGAAATTACCCCGCCCATTCCTGTATGAAGAACGGGACGGGATGCATGTCCACGCGGAGTAATTTCGACTCCGCCCGCTCCGTTTACTCCGCCAGTCTTGAGTCATGTTGAATGAAGACCGCATAATACTTTTGTCACGGCAATGTATATTGCCCCGACGGCGGGTGAATCTCGAGACGACTCTACCTGGCCGACGCCACATCTCTTTCATTGAAGCAACCTCTGGCTGGGGTCGGTTCGGGGCGCTTCTCTTCGGGCTGGCGCTGTAATCGGCCTGACGCCTGGCGAAGCTCGTGAGGCCTTTCTTGGCCTGAAGCCCTGGCCATCGCTCGGACGTCCATTTCCTATGTTTTTTCCGGTTTCGTGCGTGTTTTTTTCGCGGAATGATCAAGGATGCTCCTCGATGGTCCTCGCCGAAGGAAACATGCACACGTCCGAACGATGCCAAGAACCTCTATTGCCCTGACGCTTGGTGAAAACAATGACGCCTCGATTCGGCCTGAAACCTCTATTGCCCAGACGCCCGGCGAAGCTCGTTGCGCCTCTATTCGGCAGGGAGCCTCTATTGCCTGGACGCCCGATGAAGCTCGTGACGCCGCCTCTGTTCGGCCTGACACAACAATTGGCTTGACGCCCAGTGAAGCTTGCCTCTATCCGGCCTGAAGCCTTTACTGCCCTGACGCCCAGTGAAGCTCGTGACGCCTCTGCTCGGGCTGAACCTATATTGGCCTGGCGCTCGGGAAATCATTGAAAACCAAATGACACCTAAGAAGAGCCACACGAAACCAAAAGGAAACCATAGGAAGCCCAGAAAGAACAACCATGAGTATAAAGAAAGCCATCGAAAGCTTACGGAAAACCATGGGACACCTGAGCAAAACCAAAGGACATCCAAGGAAAAAAGAAAAACCATAGGACATCTAGGGAAAACCATGGGGAGCCGCATGGGAAACAATAGGGAACCGAAAGGGGCCCATCGGAAACGCAAGGAAACCATCGGCAACCTGAGGAACGCCATCGGAAACTTACGAAACCTAAGGAAGCCACAGGACACCTACGCGAATTCGTAGGAGCCCTAAGGAGGATTGCGTGCTAACCCCGAGTGACCGCGTTGACTTTGGGCCACTGCGAACAGAAGCCACTGGAGCTTTGGAGCTGGCCAAGCCACTCGGCCTTACCCGGCAATCGAAAAAAAGTAGGTTGACACATGAAGTAGGGAGGCGGATGAAGTAGATTGGATTCGGGCCCGATTAGAGAATAATAAAAAGCAGCAAGCTCGTATCGGTTCTTGAAGTCGCGAGGCGCTTGAACAACAATTGGGATCAGGCTATCCAGCATCACCTACTTACAACGCTTGGCGTGTAAGGAAAACCATCTGAAGCGGAAGAAACGCCACACGAAACTGAGGGGGGGGAATCATGGGAACCGCAAAAAAACCAAACAGAATGCCATGGGAAGCCGAAGGAAACCCATTGGAAACGGGGAGGGAAACCACAGGAGACCCATGGCAGTCATCTAGGAACGAAGCTGTCGACCGCGGTCGGGTAACCGGCAGAGGCCGCCCCGAAGGCAGCCGTGCCGATTCGCTCCCCTAGCCACCCGGCTCCACGCAACACGCCCCGCGATGCGCGTCCACCTTCGTACCCGCGCGCCCCCGCGACGCCCCCCTGCGAGAGGGGCAGGCGGCAGCCGCTCTGGCCCACGCCGCGACCTGCGCAGCGCGGTGATCTTCGCGCACCCCGCGGGTGAGCGCGGTTCCCCCAGGGTGCCTGGCGGAAGAGGACCGAGAGAGAGAGGGAGAGAGAGAACGCAGAGATGTCTTCAACAGTGCTGTCTCCAGGCTCCCCTGGACTCCTCTGCCCAGGGCGTGGCCTCGCCGAGAAAGCGCCTTGAGCTCCAACTACAGTACTTCGTCACGGACCTCGGGCTTCTTTCGCCCAAGGGTGTTAGGGTGTTACTTCCTCCACCTGCCCCAGCCACCACCCGGAGAGGGAGGCGTACCCTACCACCACGCCTCCGCAGGCTTGACGGCGGCCTTTGATCCACACCGGCCGACTCCCGAAACCCTGGGCCCCCAAAATGCTGACGCCTCACTGCTACTTCCACCGCCTTCCGCCAAGCGTCCGCCAACCGGGCCCGCCGCCGTGCTGCTCCCGCCAGCCTTCCGACGCCTCGCGCCCAGGGCGAGACTGTGCCGGAGGCGAGGCCACTGCAGACACGCCCTACCACACGGTCGTAGCCTCTCGGCGTAGCCAGGGAGCCAATACATCGCCGTGACGAAAGTTTCTTTCAATTTGCCTTTTGGAATGACGCGCTCGTGCGGAGTAGTTCGGAGTAGTTTTACTAAAACTACTCCTCGCGCAATCGCATCCCGCTCGATAACTGGTATGGTTTGGCGCGGAGTAGTTTCCGATCCCGTCTTGGGGTAACAGAGTTCCAACGTCTCCGGGATCGGAAACTACTCCGCCGAATGACCCCAGCATCATGTCATGTTAGGAATCTTGAGAGGGATGGGAGAGATTTTCATCATAGCAAATTGAAGAAACTTATGTCACGGCTGTGTATCCAGCTAGACCCAGGCCCGAATCGGGCTTGCGCAATCGGAGTGGTGGGCACCTTCCCTCGTCCCGACGGGGAGCACCCGCAGCAACAGAAGAACAGCTGACTGCATGAACAGAACATGTCCGAGGTCTGGCCAGGGCGGCGCTGAAGGCGCCGCCAGGCGTGGTCCAGCGCCGACTCCTTGTCAATGCTTGCTTGCACGGGTTCTATACCACTCTTCTAACGCCCAGTGAAAGTGCCGGGCCCTCGAAATCGGAAGCCCATCGCGGTCCCCCATAGCCCGGGCTCCAAACATTGGTGATCCATCGTTGTCCCCCATCCTTGCCCCCATCGTGGCGGTGCAAGGCTGTTCAGGGTCTTCCGCCGCAATGGTGCCGTCTCTTCTTCGAGGCATCACGAGCTGCAGCCGTGTGGCTGCGTCGCCTTCCCCCGTGTCCCCGTGGCCCTCTCGCTGCAGCCGCTTCGGCCAAAGGGGCAGGCGGCCGCAGGGGCCCGACGAGGCGCACCGGGCGAGGCGGCACTGAGACCTTGTCGATTTCAGCCCTTGAGTTCTTGTCCGGCATTCTTCCCTTCATCATCTCGCAGAAATCGTTGAAGTCGATGGGCTGGGCAGGGTCCTTCCGCGCTCTCGGGAGCTCTGCTCTGCCCCCCCTTGCATGCGTCGGTCCATTACGCAGTCGGTGCACATCACCGCTGCTTGAGCGAACGCGCTACTTCTACTCTTGCATGGCTGTACAGCTGACGCCATGAAGCTCCCTATGCAGTGCGGCACTAGCCAGTGGGAGCTGGCCTGGTGGCCTGGCAAGGACCCATTCCCCATCGTTCTCCCCATCATCATTCCTTTAAATTTCTGTCCTCTTCCTCCTCCTCATTATCTTCCTCCTTGTCCTCCTACTACTAGCATCCATCCATACGACCCCGCCCCCGCCCCCGAATACCCTTACGTTTTCCTGCCCTGCTGATGATACTGCCACTTCCCGTTCCTCCTCCTCCTTCCCCTCCTCCTCCTCCTCCTCCTCCTCCTCCTCCTTCTTCTCCTCGTAGTACTGCTGCTGCTGCTGCTGCTGCTGCTGCTGCTGCTGCTGCTGCTGCTGCTGCTGCTGTGCTGCTACTACTACTACTACTACTACTACTACTACTACTACTACTACTACTACTAACTACTACTAACTACTACTACTACTACTACTACTACTACTACTACTACTACTACTACTACTACTACTACTACTACTACTACTACTACTACTACTACTACTACTACTACTAACTACTAACTACTACTACTACTACTAACTACTACTAACTACTACTACTACACTAACTCACTACCACACTACTAAAACTACGAACGCTAATACTAACTACTACTAACTAACTACTAACTAACTAACTAAAACTTAACTACTACTGCTGCTTCTGCTGCTGCTGCTGCTCCTACTACTAATACTACTACTACTACTGCTGCTGCTGCTGCTGCTAACTACTAACTACTACTGAACTACTACTAACTAAAATAAATTACTACTAACTACACAAACTACTCTACTACTACTACTAAAACTACTACTACTACTCAACTACTACTACTACTACTAACTCAACTACTACTACTACTACTACTAAACTTCTACAACAAACTTACTATTGCTACTACTACTAACTACTACTACTACTACTACACTACTACTACTACTCAACTACTACTACCTAAAACTACTACTCCTCTAAACTACTACTACTACTACTACTACTACTGACTTACTACTGACTTACTACTAACTACTACTACTTACTAACTACTACTAAACTACTACTACTACTAACTACTACTACTACTACTATACTAAAAAACTACTACTACTACTACTACTACTACTACTACTACTAACTACTAACTACTATTACTACTGACAACTAAACTAACTACTACCACTAACTAACTAACTAACTAACGAAACGACTACTACTACTAAACTCACTAACTACTACTACTCTACTACACTACTACTACTACTACTACTACTACTACTACTACTACTACTACTACTACTACTACTACTACTACTACTACTACTACTACTACTACTACTTTCTTTTGACTCATGGGCAGCGCGACTCTGCACTCAAGCGTCGCAGACACCATCCTGAAGCCGCGCCGTGCGACTAATTCGGCCGCACGCCGGATAGGACGGGAGGGGGAAGGGGGAAAGGAGAGGAGCAGCAGTACTACTACTACTACTACTACTACTACTACTACTACGACTACTACTACGACTACTATTACTACTACTACTACTACTACTACTACTACTACTACTACTACTACTACTACTACTACTACTACTACTACTACTACTACTACTACTACTACGACTACTACGACTACGACTACTACTACTACTACTACTACTACTACTACTACTACTGCTGCTGCTGCTGCTGCTGCTGCTGCTGCTGCTGCTGCTGCTGCTGCTGCTGCTGCTACTAGGGGTGACCGGCTCCTGGGTGCGAGCCGCTCCCCCGGTCCCTCCCTGCAGCACTCCGTTGGGTTTCCGCACGCTCAGTGTGTTTCGTATACGTTTTGTAGACGTTTCCTATATGTTTCCTGTACGTTTCGTAAACGTTTCCTATCTGCTTCCTATATGCTTCCTATATGTTTCCTATCTGCTTCCTACATGTTTCCTATATGTTTCCTATCTGTTTCCCATACGTTTTGTATACGTTTCCTAAATGTTCCCTATATGTTCCTGTACGTTTTGTATATGTTTCCTGTATGTTTCTTATATCTTTCCTATACGTTTTGTATACGTTTCCTACACGTTGTATACGTTCAAGGAGCGCTCCTACACGTCTTGTGTACACCTATATGTTTCCTATACGTTTTGTACACGTTCCCAAACACCCAAAGAGCGCTCCAGGACGCCCAAGGTGCGCCAAAGACAGCCCAAGAAGCCGCCAAGAGCGCCCCAAGAGGCCTCACAGCAGGGCCCCGAGACGCCCAAATCTTCAATTTTACAAAGATTTTTGAACAGCTTTGGCTTTCCCGCCTTTTCTGATTTCCGACGCTCCAAGACGGCCCAAGAAGCCCCCAGGAGCGCCCCGAAACGGCCCAAGAGGCTTCCAAAAGGGCCCCAAGACGGCCCAAGAGAGCCCCAAGACGACCCAAGAGGCGCCCAAGACGACCCAAGAGAGCCCCAAGACGGCCCAAGAGGCGCCCAAGACGCCCCAAGAGAGCTCCAGGAGGCCCCAAGAGGCCCCAAAGAGGCCCCAAGAGGCCCGCAGGAAGCGACCAAGAGGGCCCAAGGCGCCCCCAAGAGGCCGACTGATGCCCCCAACCGCCGCCGTCGCCGCGACCGCGGCGGCGGCCGCGGCGGCGGCTCGCACCCAGGGCCCGGTCTGCCCTACTACTACTACTACTACTACTACTACTACTACTACTACTACTACTACTACTACTACTACTACTACTCTACTACTACTACTACTACTACTACTACTACTACTACTACTACTACTACTACTACTACTACTACTACTACTACTACTACTACTACTACTACTACTACTACTACTACTACTACTACTTACTACTACTACTACTACTAACTACTACTACTACTACTACTACTACTACTACTACTACTAACTTACTACTACTACTACTTACTATACTACTACTACGACTACTACTACTACTACTACTACGCTACTACTACTACTACGACTACTAACTACGACTACTACTACTACTACTACTACTACTACTACTACTACTACTACTACTACTACTACTACTACTACTACTACTACTACTACTACTACTACTACTACTACTACTACTACTACTACTACTACTACTACTACTACTACTACTACTACTACTAAAACTACTACTACTACTACTACTACTACTACTACTACTACTACTACTACTACTACTACTACTACTACTACTACTACACTACTACTCATACCACTACTAATACTACTACTATTACTACTACCACTTCCCCTACTAGTAATAGTACCACTGCTGCTCCTCCTCCTCCTCCTCCTACTACTACTACTACTACGACCACGGCTACAACTACAACTACTACTACTACTACCACTACTACTACTACTACTACTACTACTACTACTACTACTACTACTACTACGACTACAACCACAAAACAAACAACTACTACTGCTACTACTGCTACGACTGCTGCTACTACTGCTACTACTGCTACTACTACTATTACTACTAATACTACTACTTCAACTACTACGACTACTACTACTACTACTACTACTACTACTACTACTACTACTACTACTACTGCTGCTGCAACTCCTACTACTACTACTACTGCTGCTGCTACTACTACTGCTACTGCTATTGATACTGCTACTGCTACTGCTACTGCTACTGCTACTGCTACTGCTGCTGCTACTGCTACTGCTACTGCTACTACTATGTCTTATCCCTCCTCCACCTATGCTAACGACAGGCAGTCCTTTTCCAGAACAAGCGCAAGAACACTGTGAAGCGTACGAGCGCGGGAGACGCTGGCAAACCGCAAGGAGCCGAACTTTTTAACAAGACATCCCATGTTAACCCAGCGTGGACCCCCAACAGTAAGTTGATGCTTAAGCTATGTAACGCATGCTATGTGGTGAAGTCTACGTGGTGCAAGTAATTTGCTGAACTTGAAATTGTCTTCTCCACTGCTCGCGCAAACATCCCACCCACCCACCCGCAACTTGGTTTGCAAAACCTGTTAAGACCGACTACGACGACACCGACGACAACGACTAGGACGACACCGACGACGTCTCCGACGACTTCGACGACGACAACGACGCCGACGCCGACGACGACGAAGACGACGACGACCACGCCAACGAAGGCGACGACGAGGAAGGAGGAAGGACGACGACGGCGACAGCGACGACAACGACGAAGGAGGAGGGAGGACGGTGACGACGCGAACGACGACGAAGGAGGAAGGACGGCGACGCCGACGACGACAACGACGAGGGAGGAGGGAAGACGACGACGACAACGACGACGACGACGGCGACGACATAGGAGGGACGACGATGAGACGCCGACGACGGACGACGACGACGACGTGGGAGGAGGAGGAAGGACGACCACGGCGACAACGACGATGGAAACGACCACGACGCCAAAGAGGACGACGACGACAAACAGGAGAAAAGACAGAGGACGACGTAGGCGACGACGACGACGACGCGGGAGGAGGGAGGAGGACGACGACGACGACGACGACGACGACGCAAGAGCGCGCGCGCACGCTTTTGTTGAAAATCCGTGTTGCGAAACCTTGGGTTCTTGTAGGTTTTTTGGACGCACGATTTTGAAATCCTTCCGAAACCGATGGGTTTCGAAGGTTTTCGGCATACGTCCGCGACGACGCGCGCGTCTGCACTTCGTCCCATTTTTTGCAGAGGATTCTCGCGACGGCACACGCGCAAGGGCGTTCGACAGATTTCGACATGCGCGCGCGCGAAGCCCGTTTGGTAGCATTTTGTGAAAATCTTGAAAAAAAACCTATGGTTTTCTTAAGATTTCGCAAGAGCTCGCGCGGAAGTTTTTTAGCAAACCAGTGTTGCGAAACCATGTGTTTTTGTATGTTTTTCGGAAACTCGATTGCGAAATCCTTCCGGCACCGAAGGTTTTTGAAGGATTTCGGCATGCGCGCGCGACGACGCGCGCGTGTGCACTTCGTCCCATTTTTTGCAAGGGATTCGTGAAAAAGTGTTATGTTAGAAAGAAAAATGTCCCCGCATAGTGTTATTTGACAGGGAACCGCAGGGGGGGGGAACCCGGCTTGGCTGGGATGGTATGAATTCATATTTAGGATGGACATGTGGTCAGAATCATATATGATTTACAGCACGCGCGGGGTAACCGATAAGTCCGGGGGGGGGGGGTAGAATCTATTAGTTTTTTAGAAAGGAGAATCTACAGGCGGCAACTAATCTTGACCGTCTTGAAGCTGTCCTCTCCACTGCTCGTGCAAACATCCCACCCTCCCACCCGCAACTTGGTCGCAAGACCTCTTCAGACAAGACCGTGACGGTAGGTACCACATGGCACTTGGCCACGACACCGATGCCGACGACGACAGCGACATCGACGACGACGGCGCCGCCGACAGCGACTGCGACGACACCGACGACGTCTCCAATGTTTTCGACGGCGACAACGACGACGACGACACCGACGACGACGACAACGACGCCGACGACGACGACGAAGACGACGACGACGTCGCCAACGGAGACGACGACGAGGGAGGAGAAAAAACGACGACGGCGACAACGACGACAACGACGATGGAGGAGGGAAGACGGCGACGACGCCAACGACGAAGAAGGAGGAAGGACGGCGACGCCGACGACGACAACGACGAGGGAGGAGGGAAGACGACGACGATGACAACGACGACGAAGACGACGACGACGGCGACGAAATGAAAGGACGACGACGAGACGCCGACGACGGACGACGACGACGAGGGAGGAGGATAACGACGAGGGAGGAGTGAAGACCGACGACGACGACGACGACGACGACGGCGACGAAATAGGAGGGACAACGACGAGACGCCGACGAAGACAACGAGGGAGGAAGGACGACCACGGCGACAACGACGACGGAAACGACGACGACGCCAAGACGACGACAACGACGACGAGGAAAGACAGAAGACGACGACGGCGACGACGACGACGACGACGAGGGAGGAGGGAGGACGACGACGACGACGACGCAAGAGCGCGCGCGCACGCTTTTGTTGAAAATCCGTGTTGCGAAACCTTGGGTTCTTGTAGGTTTTTTGGACGCACGATTTTGAAAATCCTTCCGAAACCGATGGGTTTTGAAGGATTTCGGCATACGCCCGCGACGACGCGCGCGTCTGCACTTCGTCCCATTTTTTGCAGAGGATTCTCGCGACGGCACACGCGCAAGGGCGTTCGACAGACTTCGACATGCGCGCGCGCGAAGCCCGTGTGGTAGCATTTTGTGAAAATCTTGAAAACCCATGGTTGTCTTAAGATTTCGCAAGAGCTCGCGCGGAAGTTTTTTTAGCAAATCAGTGTTGCGAAACCCTGTGTTTTTGTATGTTTGTCGGAAACTCGATTGCGAAATCCTTCCGGCACCGAAGGTTTTTGAAGGATTTCGGCATGCGCGCGCGACGACGCGCGCGTGTGCACTTCGTCCCATTTTTTGCAAGGGATTCGTGAAAAAGGTGCTATGTTAGAACAAAACATGTCACCGCATATTGTTTTTTTACAAGGGAACCGCAAGGGGGGTGAACCCGGCTTGGCTGGGATAGTATGAATTCATATTTAGGATGGACATGTGGTCAGAATCATATGTAATTTGCAGCACGCGCGGGGGTCCCGATAAGTCCGGGGGGGAGGGGGGGGGGTAGAATCTATTAGTCTTTTAGAAAGGAGAATGAAGCGGCAACGAGCTGCAACGTGGCGAAACTTCGCTGGACACACCCAGCGTACGAGGCGGCAGCGAGGCGGCAACGTGGCGAAACCTCGCAGGACCCATGCAGCGCACGAAGCACCAATGAGGCGGCAACAGGCGGCAATAATCGGCAACGTGGCGAAAAAACCCGCCAGACTCACCCAGCGCACGAGGCGGCAACGAAGCGGCAACGAGGCGGCAACGAGCGGCAACGTGGCGACACCTCGCTGGACCCAACCAGCGCACGGAGCGGCAACGAGGCGGCAACGGGCGGCGACGTGGCAAAAGCCTCGCCAGACCCACCCAGCGCATGAGGCGGCAACGAGGCAGCAACGTGGCGAAACCTCGCCAGACCCACCCGTCGCACGAGGCGGCAACGAGGCGGAAATGAGGCGGCAACAAATCGGGAACGAGGCGGCAACGAGGCGACAACGAGGCGGCAACTGACGGCGACGTGGCGAAACAACGCCAGATCCACCCAGGGCACGAGGCGGCAACGAAGCGGCAATGAAGCGGCAACGAGGCGCTAACGTGGCGAAAACTCGCCAGACCCAACCAAGGCACGAGGTGGCAACGAGGCGGCAACGGTCGGCAAAACGGCGAAACCTCGTTGGACCCACCCGGCGCACGAGGCGGCAACGAGGCGAAACGAGGCGGCAACGTGGCGAAACCTCATCGGATGCAGTCGGCGCACGAGGCGGCAACGAGACGGCAACGTGGCGAAAAAATCCGCCGGACGCACCCAGGGCATGAGGCGGCAACGAGGCGGCAACGGGCGGCAACGTGCCGAACCCCCGCCGCACTCACCCAAGGCGCTGGGCGGCAACGAGGCGGCGACGCGGCGACACCCCGCCAGACCCGCACGAGGCGGCATCGAGGCCGCACCGAGGCGGCAACGTGGCGAGACCTCGCCGCAAGAGGCGGGAACGTGGCACGAGGCGGCAATCAGTCGGGAGCGAGGCGTAAAGACGTTGGGAACGAGGCGGTCACTTGGCGAAACCTCGCTGGACCCACCCGGCGCACGAGGCAGCCACAGGGCGGCAACGAGGCGGCAGCGGGCGGTGACGTGGCGAAACCCCGCCAGACCCACTCAGCACGCGAGGCGGCAACGAGGCGGCAACGTGGCGAAACCTCGCCAGACCCACCCGGCGCACGAAGCACCAGCGAGGCGGCAACGAGGCGGCAACGAGCTGCAACGTGGCGAAACCTCGCCGCAGGAGGCGGCAACGAGGCGGCAACGCTGCGAACCCCCGCCAGGCTCACCCGTCGGACGAGGCGGCAATAAATCGGCAACGAGGTGGTCACGTGCCGAAACCTCGCTGGACCCAACCAACTCCTTCGGCAGGCAAGCAATGACTCCTAATTGCAAGCGCTGTTCTGTGAACGTTGTCAACCGCGGATACCACAACTTGTCAGCTTTGCACCCCGGGCGCATCTGCGTGTTCGTCCCACACTTGTGCTGCAGGCTGGTCGCAAGATCTTAATGTTAGGTCGGGCATATCCCCCTACGGGCGGATTTTGGACGAAGCATAGAAAATAGTCAAAACATGCACCAAAAATGCTAAAACATTGTCGAAAACTCGTCCCCAGACTATTTTTTGACTATTCTTGGACGTCCCCCCTGGTGGAGGGACAGGCCCGGCTTAATCTTAATGTCAGAACGCTGAGCGAGCAGCACATCACACTTTGGGGGGGCGGGCGTGCGCGCCCGTGCGTGAGAGGGCGTGTCGGTGCCATCTGGCCGAGGCGGGAGGCAGACATGCGAATGGTCGACGTGAAGTCATGAATCTCTCTGGCTGGCCACAGCGAATCTCCGATACAGTGTTAGGGGGGCAGATGCGCACCCTACCCCTACCCCCCAGGATTTCTGAGGGGGAGGGTGGGGTTCACTTTGCTCGGGAGCTCCCGAACGAAGTGAACCCCACCCTCCCCCTCAGAAATCCTGGGGGGTAGGGGTAGGGTGCGCATCTGCCCCCCTAAATGTGTGAGCGGCGGCAGACATACCGCAGAAACGTCCTTGCCGATGTCCGACAACATTCGTCGAACGTCTTCTTTCTTGACCTGAACGGCTCACGCTGCATCTCGATGGAACTACAACTGTTTACTGATGCCTTGCCCTGCCCTTCGCCTTCGCTCAATTCGACACTTGTCTCTTTCTTCCCAATGTGCCCTCCATCCCCCCTTGCTTCCTCCCTCTCTCTCCCTCTCCCTTCCTCCACTCCCCCCTCCCGCCCTTACACGTTCCAAGCTCTATCTCCCCCTCCGTGTCCCTCTTTGCTCATGCACTCTCCGACATGACCGGCTTCGGGCCAATAGCCGCAGGAGGACGTAATTGATAACGCCTACCCGAGAGGGCGAGAAAACAAGGTGAAACCTTACAGGGAGAGACACTCGCACGCCTCCAGAAGCTCAACAACAAACTTCCACACAGAGCACTCACAATGGCACTGAAAACTATGATTAATCGGGCGCGGGGAAGAAACGTGGATACCAATCCGAATGCACATATCCCACACGATGGGAAGAGTCCTGCCACGCTGACCACTCAATGGTACACGCGCCTGGGGAGTGCTGGTCCACGTAACCAAAGAGGTGCAAACCTGTAACTATGGGGGATATTTCATACCTCGGGCTAATCGGGCAGGTCAGTCACGCATGCTTGCAACAAAGACGCGGCATAACAAGAAGAAACAACCACCAGAAACCGACGAGCAAAGCGATTGCACATTGAAATCTGAACAACAACCGACGCAAAACAAAACTGCGAGCTACTGGGGCGGCCCTTTGTGCATGTTTCGCAGCTTCTGCATGGTGGTTCCCCTGCCCACAGTGGGAGGCTGGTCTGCAGAGATCCGCCAGAGCCGATGGAGCTGACGCCGATCGAAGCCTCGGACTTCACGGGACGCGGCAGGGCGCTCCCGATAAGACCTGCACTGCCTGCGCCGCAGGGGCCGCCGGCGCGCTCGTGCCCACAGAATGCAGAAGGCACCTGGCCGACCGACTGGCCGCGAGCGGACTCCGAGCATACTGCGTGTGTAGTCGCTGCCCTAGGCAGCGGTGCGCACTGCAGCTCGCGAGCTTCTCGCGCTTCGGATCCAGACGGCACCGGGTAATGCACGCACGGGCGCGCGTGCGCGCGCCATCACTCGCGCAGGCGAGCACGTGCGCATCCGCGCCCCCACGCCAAGCACGCCGCGCGGGCACGCAGTCGTGCAACGTCGCGCACGCACGGGCGCGAGCTGGCGCTCAAGGCCGCGCGCGGGCGAGCGCACGGGAGCCCATCCCCGCGAGCAGCGCGCCTCGAAGCCCAGGGCTCTCAGGGCCGCCTTCAGCTCCCGCGCGTCAATGGCGCCTTCGCTGGGGCCAACCCCCCCGCCCACCGCCAGCTCTTTGAATGGCGGAGGGCGGAGAGGAGGGCGAGGAGGGCGGGGTCGAGGAAGAGGAAGACGGGAAGAGGAGGAGAAGGAGGAGGAGGAGGAGAAAGAGGAGGACGGGAAGGAGGATGGGGAGGAGGACGGGGAGAACGTGGAGGAGGAGGAGGAAGAGGCTTTGAATACAGGCTTCGCAGGATGGCACAGCACATCTAGGGCGGGGGAGCACAATGCGGCGCGGCACCGACCAAGACGAGCGACACCACGACGACGACGGCGGCGGCGGCGACGAGGGCAAGGGGGCGAGCATCGTCTAGTCGATCGCCATCCCCACTGGCATGGCCTTGACCCCACTGGCAACTTACCCCCCTAGGTGGGGATATATGACCTACGACTCCGCGTCCCCCCCATCATGCTGATGCATTCGGGCCTTGTGGGCGTGGCGTGGTCCCCCCCACCCCCCTGTGTGCATGGGGTGCCGGGGGGTGCTGGTGCCCACCTCTCCCCATGTGCGGTGCCATCGTCGTCGTCGGCGTCGGCGTCGGCGTCGTCGGCGTCGGCGTCGTCGTCGTCGTCGTCGTCGTCGGCGGCGGCGGCGGCGGCGTCGGCGTCGGCGTCGGCGTCGGCGTCGGCGTCGGCGTCGGCGTCGGCGTCGTCGTCGTCGTCGTCGTCGTCGTCGTCGTCGTCGTCGTCGTCGTCGTCGGCATCGGCGTCGGCGTCGGCGGCGTCGGCGTCGGCGTCGGCGTCGGCGTCGGCGTCGGCGTCGGCGTCGGCGTCGTCGTCGTCGTCGTCGTCGTCGTCGCTGTCGTCGTCGTCGTCGTCGTCGTCGTCGTCGTCGTCGTCGTCGTCGTCGTCGTCGTCGTCCCCCCCCAGCACCATTCCATCTGGGTGGGGGCGTGGGGCCATGGGACCCATCCTATCTGGGGGGGGACGTGAACGCTCGGCCCCGCATCATATATTATGCTGCTCCCTTCGGGCTTCGCGGGACCTGCGGCCAGGAACTTTTGGATAGCGTGTCGCAGCGGCGGCCCCGGCGACACGCTCTGTCCTGCGAGCGGAAGACGTGTAGCTCCGCTCCGCGGGGCGGGAGGCCGGTTGGCAATCCGCGCCTGGGGGGGGGGCGAGGACCTCGACGGCGATCTCTGCCGCGCCCCCAGCGAGGGCGCATCAAACCTCTGGCGCCACGTGGCGACCCCTGGGCCCCGACGGCGCAGATCGCCACCCGCACCCGGGCGTAACAGCACCCAGTCTGTCGTCGACACGCAAGGAGTGGCTCCAGGCAAGCGTGGACTTTGGTGCGTGGCCTCACTGGCCATCGCTCGGACGTCCATTCCCTGTGTCTTTTTCGGTTTCGTGCGTGGTTTTTTCGCCAAATGATCAAGGATGCTCCTCGATGGACCTCGCCGAAGGGAAAATGCACACGTCCGAGCGATGCCAAGCTCAGGGGGCCGCGGGGAAGCCGGATCCAGGCGCTCAGGCCAGTGCCCGGGGGGACCCCTGTGGGCCAGCACCAGAGGCCACTCTGGCGAAGGGCCGCTCCTCACGCGTAGCCGAGCCACGCGGCCCGATCCTCGCGCCCGTCCCTGCCGGCGTGGACTGCAGCGGCCGTGTGGACGCTGACGCCCCCCGCTGCGGGCCCGACGGCGTGGCCGCCGACGCCCGCAGTGCCGGCGGGACCCTCGCCTCGCCCTTGCAGCTGGTCATCGCGCCGCTTGGACAGCGATTTTTTGTGGACGCATCGGTACGATGACATGTTCAATGACTTAATCGTGAAGCCAGCAAGCTACTTCGAACGCCGTGCACATGAAGCGTCCAGCCGAGTAGACGAGCTGTCCTGAGAGCGGTGGCGCAAGGGGATCGCCGACCTATGGATGTCCGTGCGCAGCGGGATGACGAGCACGGGCATGTCGTGCTTCACGCCCAAATGCCGCAAGTCGGAGCCCCGATGAGGGACCCGCCGAGGAGCCCGAGGGCGAACGCGGGGGGGCCGGAAGAAGCGGCAGGGACCGAGCAAAGACCAGAGGAGACAGACAACGACCCACCCCAGCCGGCTGCAGGCGGCAGAAGGCTGCCCAGGCTCGGCTTGGCCGTCGGCAAACTTGGGGACCTTCCTACGCCGCAGCACGTGCGGCTCTAGCGTGCTGGGAGGCACTCGTGTCATCGGGATTCGACTGTGCAAGGAGAAAGTGCCTTTCAAGAAGCCACCGTCCACGACATCGGTTGCACTTCACAACTGCATCTGGCGCGCAAAGCGCTACAGCCGAACACATGGTCAACAAGCTTTGCCATGATAGTGAGGCACTCCAGGCGGAAGGGCATCGCCATGACCGTGCATATCGAACTGAAGGCAGCGCGTCAAGAACGGCTGAAGACGGCCCCACTTGAAATGTGCCGCGAAGCGGGGCGCCCAAGTAGCAACTGATTCGCCCTGCGCGTGGGGAAGGCAGTGACCTACTCAACGCCAAGCCATCGGTAACACTGTGCGAAGACCAACGAACGGCGGCGAATAGCGTGTGACACGCATAGGCCCAAACAAGCCTCCAGAGGACCAGCGGCAAATAGGCGATCCAGGCTACGCGGTACACTAACTGCTACGCGCTGCGCTCATGCAGACATCGCCAGGATCACCAAGCCAAGAAAGGCACCAGGTACATCATACGAGCACGAGGAGCAAGGTCAGGCTGACGATCAACTGGTGCAGCACGCCGAAGATCTGGAGTGTCATCCCGAGAAATCCCGAGGACGGCACGCGCCACAGAGGGAGTGGCACTAAATACCAGGCTCATCATTTTGGAGAGCAGCAGTAAAAGGCTCCTAGACGAGGTCCGAACAGATGGTGTCGGAGGATCGCGCCACATCGCCACTGTATCGGCGATGCATCGGCGATAAATCGTCAATGCGTTGGCGATGGACCCGCGACGTCGGCGATGCATCGGCGCCATCGTGGAGAAAATCGGGCTCCACATCGAACCGCATCGCCGATTCATCGGCGATGCGACGCGCTCCTCTGGCCCCATCTTGGGGATACCAAGGGATACGGATACGGGATACCGCCACTCCCTGGACATCTCCGGGGGTGCGTTCTGACCAGAATTTCGTGGCGAATCTAGCGGTGGCGACGAGGGCCTCCCACGAGGCCCGAAAAGGGGAAAACGAGGGAAGGGTAGAGGTATCGGTACCTTTCCTCCTCCGATCTGCTCCGATTCCACCTGGGAGGCCTACGAGCAGGCGCACCCACAGGACGAACGCGCCGCCAGGGATGCCTGGCCCGGCAGAGTCGAGCGGAGGTAGCCTTGTGGATGCGATGACAATGAACACTCTATCCGTCCAATCATTGGATTAAAAGAGTGTTCAAAATGTGTAAAGCATGTCCCAAACATGTTTCAAACATTTTTGAAACAAAAAACAATCAAAACATGTTTGAAACACTAAAAAGATGGTAATTATTTGGCAGCACGCTTCCTCTCCATTTAACCGACTTCCACAGAGGCAGCCCGGGAGCTCCGAGAGCCGGCAGGCCCGGGGGATGTGCCGAGCGCGGCGGCCCTTCATGGAGCGACCCGGAACGGTCCGGGAGAGCAGCGACGGAGCCCAGGTAACGCTCTGAAGCGACCCAGCCTCACCCCAGAACCCAGAGCCCAGAACCCAGAAGACGCTCTGAAACGACTCGGCCTCATCCCAAGCTGCCTGCTCGTCCACGGGGGCCCCTCGCTCGGACGCGGGCGGTGACGTGACGACCGGCGCAAGTTCCGTTCAATTTTGGCGGAGCTGAACGGGGTAGGCACACGCACAAAAATACACGCACACACATTCACACAGACACAGACACAGACACAGACACACACAGACACACCCACACAGACACAGACACACATACACACATTGCGAGTGAGGACCGCCTGGGGGATCAATCTTCAGGGATCTCGGCAGGCGTGTATATTGATATATGTGGCTCCCCCCCCCAGGCCCCAAGTGTATCCATCCACCGCCTGCCGAAGTTCCCGAAGATAGGTCCCAAGGTGGCGGTTGAAGATAAACCCTCGCCTCGGATTGGGGTGGCACGCGCCCTGAAGATTATCGACAGGTGATTGGCCCCGATCGCGAATCTAGGGCGACGAGATCAATTCATAGCTTTTGCCCCTGGTCGGACCCGTCCTGGGCCCAGCAGCGGTGTATGCGTACGCCCTACTGTGTTGGCCAGGGAAGCATATACACCGATCCTGGGCCCAGCACGGGCCTGGTCAGTGGTACATATGTATGTATGTATGTCTGTACGTATGCCTGTCGGTCTATATATATATATATATATATGCATGCGTGCATGTGTGTATGCGTGTATGTGTGTCTGTGTGTAGGTGTGCATGTATGTGTGTATGTATGTGTGTATGTATGTGTGTATGTATGTGTGTATGTGTATGTGTATGTGTATGTGTATGTGTATGTGTATGTGTATGTGTATGTATGTATGTCTGTATGTAAGTGTGCATGTATGTATGTATGCATGTATGTATGCATGCGTGTTTGTCTGTGTGTACGTATGTATGTGCGTATATGTGTATGTATGCATGTATGTATGTATGTATGCATGTGCGTGCGCGGATGTATGTTTCTAGGTCGGCAGAAAGGGATGTAGTAATTTGTTATGCATTCGTGTGCGTGTGCTTGTCTGTTCGCTTGTTTGTATGTATGTATGTTTCTATATTTGTATGAATGAATTGATTGTTGAATTACTCAGTTAAAGAATGGGTGCGCAAGTGCATCTGCGTGTGCGTATCGATGTATATATGTGCATCTATTCATATATATATATATATATATATATATATGTATATATGTGTATATACAAGACTGCATTGGCGCCGCGCGCCATGCACCTTGGTCCTTTAGAGTTTCGCACGTTCGCGGAGTGCGCGCGTGCGTACGCGCGCACGCGCATGCGCCTATGGAAACATACTACACATGTGCATATAATATACGTATG